GAAATTTTAAAACACTCCTGCTGTCCTTGACAATCAGACTAAGATGTTTTGAGAGATTCCCTTTTGGGATGTCAGATTCTTGTTAGCCTGAGCATTGTTAACCTTCTGAACCTGCAGATTTATGTTCACCATTGGTTGACCTAGAATTGGCCTCTATTAAGGGGTCAGTACAGAACCTTGAAAAGCTTTTTGTTCTGCGGAGGCAGCTGTCCAGCTGGCAGAAGCCCATTCTCTCTTTTCTCAGAACACAACTGTTGGATTTAGAGGCTGGCAGTGATGCTTTGCCAGAATAAGGATGAGAATCGTTTTTTAGCTCTGCTTCCCTTTGGCCTTTGACGCAAATACAGAATTTGGTGGAATATGTGTCGATTCTAGAAATGTACCAAGAGGTAGCTTGAACTAACGTAATGGAAGCATATAAGTTTGGTGCTGGATAGGTGAATGCAGCAGAAGACTTCGGTGGCTTCCCTGCTGTAGTTTGGAGGTGTTTTGTGTTCCTTTTAGGTGACTGCCAATTGCAGATTTTCAGCATAATTGCTCTTTTCTGCTTAAGTTCGTTCACAGTGCTTTGGGATTTAATTAGTTATACGAAGTATGATTTAAAATCAAACGATTTTCTTATTATTTCCAGATGTCCATATTTATCTTTTCCATCAGGGATAGAGTAAGTATGTTAAAATCTTTGAGTTGTTTGTTTTCATGGTGTTATGTAAATTTGTGTCACATTACTGACGGCTCTTTCCTTTGTCCACTCTGCTCGAGCCACATTGTACTTGCTCTTTCTGGAACATGCCGCATATGCTTACCCCACTCAGGGCCTTTGCATTTGATGTTGTCTCTGCCTAGGATGTATTTTCTTTGAATATTTCTGTAGATGATCATATATTTCAGTCCCTTACTTCATTCGGTCTCTCTTCAAATGTCACCTTATCAGAAGGACCTTCCTATTTAAGTATTTCCCATCATTTATTCCCTTCCCTTGTTCTTTATAACCTTTATCACTAACTGGCGTATTACTTGTTTTTCTTCTCTTGCTGGAATCGAAGCTCGTGAGGATAATAATCAGAATCAGTCATAGCTCCACCTTTCCAGTTCTTGTCCGTTCTGACACCCGCTCCCATGCGGCACTTCTTCCTCTGACCTTAGCCACCTGGAGCCAGGTCAGATCTCACGAGTTAAAAGGAGAATGTTCTTCAGACTGCCAGATGGGCAGAGACCAGCCACAGGTTTGGGACTGCACATGACACCCTCACTTCTGACCTGCTGGCTGCAGATTCATGGGTTTCCCTCTAGCCCTTCAGGATGCCATCTGCAAGCTCGGGAGCCCTCCCTGGGCTCTCTCACTTCTGACCTGCTGGCTGCCACTATTCCTTTGGGTTCATAATTCTCTGTAATGACTCACAGAATTTAGAGAAGTTAGGATTTACTGTAGGAAAAAAGGGTACAATGAAGAGATGCCTAGGGTGAGTTCTAGGAGGGTTCCCAGCGTGAAGCTTCTGTGTCCCAAAAAGGAACGCGCTACCCTTCCATGTGCATGGATGTCTTTGGCCAGCCGGAAAGCCCGTGGAGCTTCCATGTCCCCATCCTTCGTTGGGGCCTCATTGCACAGGCATGATTGAATCCTGTTCCTTTCCTCCCTGAGCTTGGCTGGTACTCAGGCTACCAGGTGGTCTCCATGGCCTGGCCAGCCCCCCATTCATTTGCACACATACTCAGATTTTGTTTAGATAACAAAGGTACCTCAGTTACTCAGGAATTCCAAGGGTTTAGTCATCTCTTAGAGCCCTGATGGTGGAGTGGTTAAGTGTTCGGCTGCTAACCAAAAGGTTGGCAGTTTGAATCCACCAGCCGCTCTTTGGAAACCCCATGGGGGCAGTTCTGCTCTGTGCTGTAGGGTGACTGTGAGTCACAATCGACTCGACGGCAATGATTAATTATTTCTCAGGAGCCCTAGTGGCACAGTGGTTAAATGCTCGGCTACTAACTGAAAGGTCAGTAGTTTGAACCCACCAGCCACTCTGAGGTGGAAAGCTGTGGCAGTTTGCTTCTGTAAAGATTTATAGCCTTGCAAACCCCATGGGGGGCGGTTTTACTCTGTCCTTATACGGTCACCATGAGTTGGAATTGACAGCAGTAGGTTGTTTTTTGCGGGGTTTGTTCTCTCTCAGAAAACAAGGGCAAAGGCCAAGTTACTTTGGGTAAAGCTAAATTCCTTATCCTCCAAAGCTTCTTGAGGACAAGTTCTTACCTGCTTTGTTGACCTGTTTTGTTGTGTGGAGCAGTGACTGCCACATAAATAAGTGTTCTATTAGTATCTGTTGACTAAGTCAAAGAAATTAAGAACAACAGAAATTGTTAAAATCATTGTAAAACCCAAGTTCTTTATGTAATGTGGAGTCTTGCCCTAGTTGGGACAAGATACTGCGTTAACAGCGGTTGCTGGCTTCCTCCCCCAGGATTAATCCGAAAGAGCGTAAAACCTAAGAAGTAAAGAGAAAAATTAGGACTCCCCAGGAAGGCAGTGTTGGTGCTGGCGTGAGTGTGTTGACGGCCGGGCCGTGAGTGTGTTGATGGCCGCAGCCAGGGGGCTGCCAGTGTGGCTGTGGGAGAGCACATCTGGGGAGAGAGTCAGTCTGGATTCTCTTGTTTGCCCCTCCTCCCTGTTGTTGCCTTGAGATAAGGAGTCTGAGGGGTTTGAGAGCAGTGACTCAGACAGTGGCTTCAAGTGTCCTGAAGCTCCCTACACCCAAAATTCCTCACTCCTAAGATTACTGTTAGCTTCTGGCTGGTCAGCCTTGACTCATAGTGACCCCATGCACAATGGTACAGAAGTACCAGTCCTGCACCATTGCCATGATTGATTGTAGATCAGACTGTTGTGATTCGAACGGTTTTCGTTGGCTGATTTTTGGCAATAGATTCCGAAGCTTTTCTTCTTGGTCTGTCTTAGTGTGGAAGCTCTGCTGAAACCTTCTCAGCACAGTAGTAGCATGCATGCCATCACTGACAGATGGGTGGTGCCCATGCGTGAGGTTCATTGGCTGGGACTCGAACCCAGGTCTCCCTCGCGGAAGGCGAGAATTCTGCCACTGAACTACCAATGCTCCATACCCCTAAAATTTTTTTAAAATCTAGTTGCTGTCGAGTCAGTTCTGACTCTTGGTGACCTCATGTGCTCCATAGGGTTTTCGATGGCCTGTTTTTCAGAAGTAGATTGCCAGGTCTTTCTTCCGAGGCATCTCTGGGTGGACTCAAACTGCCAAAGCCTGTTAACCATTTGCACCACCCAGGAACTCCACCCTTAAAATTACCTAAATTCGGTGTCGCTCCCCCACCAAACTCTTGTCACTTGCTGTCAGGTGGTCTCCTGCTCATGGGAATCAAAGGAGCGCCCTCCTCTCAGTGGTACTTCTACTTCTCCTAAGGGCTGAATCTCCCTAGATCAGCAGTCTCTCTCTGACCTGAAAGTTCTTTGTTGCATGAGAAGTGATTCACCGTGACTTTCTGGTTCTGGGGGCTTCCCGTTCTAGGCCGACCCCTCATGCCCCTCCCCTCCTTTCCTCCTCCCCAATATTCTCAGAGCTCAATGAAGCTGATACAGACTAAGTTCAGACCTTTTCTCTTTACACCATATCCAGAGAAAGTAACTCATATTCCCAAAGGAACGTGACCAAAATAAGACAGATGAACACAAGCACCTGAAAAGTCAAGTCACAAAAGACAAACTCAGTTACAGATGGCACTAGAAGCAAAGGCAGATAAAAACATTAAAACCTAATAAAGTTTCTGAAAGATAAGTATTAGCCGTACAAAACAAGAACAAAAACTTAACCAAATGGAAACATCAGGTATGAGAAGTATAATAAAATGAACACAGTTGGTGGGATAAAAAAGTGTGAACGAATTATGATACAGGACAAATTAGTGAGTTGGAAGGTTACGTTGAGGAATTCTTCCTATGAAAAGGAAGGAAAGGACAAAAAATGGAAAATATGAAGGAAGAGTTAAGAGACAAATGGAAGAAAGTGGAAGTGACACCACCTCGTAGGAGACTCTAATGACAAAAATGGGAGGTATTTGTGGAAATAATAGAGATCCATGTAATGAAAGACAGATAAAAACTCTCAGATTAAAAAGCCGCATAAAATACTGGATAGAGTTAAGAAAAAACCCAGACCTACACAATTATAGTGAAATTTAGGGCTGTCAGAGATACAGAAAAGACTGAAAGTTTCCAGAGAGCAGATACCATTACAGAGGAACAAGATTCAGACTGACATAACACTTTTCAGCAGCACCATTGGCTACAGGAAGACAATAGGGTAATATTTTGTGCGTTTAAAGGAAAATAACTTTGAGTTTTATATCTGCTCAGGTGCTGAGGGCATGATTGAAATAGCCTCAAGCACAGAAGGCCTTAGGAGATGAGCCCGCAGAGACGCACATGGGGAACATTTTGGAGGAAACTGAAATGAGAGGAGAAATGAGTCTAGGAGACGCTAAGGACATACGTAAATTTAGTGTCTTCTGCGGGGATCACAGCGGGTTCCTCATTTCTCCATATTCATTCTCACCTTCCGTTTTTGGTTTTGCTGTTCCTACCCTGCATTCTCTTCCGGCTCCAGACTGATTGTCTCCAGGCAGCCTCACTGATAATCCAGTCTCCGTGGCTGTCTCATCTGTAAACTGCTGTTTGCAGGTGTGGTTAGTCCCATGGGGTCTGAACTTAAGTGCCCTAGGGTTTCCCGTGTGTTTTTTCTTTCCAATTACACTGTAAGCTCTTTTAAAGTAGGGACTCTGAAAACAAGAATTTCTCCTTAAACACGAACAGTGTTAGGTACAAAGTAATATTTGTTGGTCGACAGGCGGCAGAGTACATACAAGTCACAAATTCTCTTTTCTCTAAGAGATCTTACATAACTTATGTAATAGCATCTTGTGTGCAGAGGCAATGATCTTGTAGGCCACTTATTGATTAATTTATATTCTTGCCATTTCAGAAAAAAGCCAAAGGACAGGAGCTGTTTGATGAGATCATGTACCACCTGGACCTTATTGAAGGCGACTATTTTGGACTGAGATTTATGGATTCAGCACAAGTAGCAGTGAGTAACTGGTTTTTGGAGATTCTAGTATGGGGCCAGAAATGGAAAATTTCAAAGGACGTATAAAGCGCTAAGTGCTATGAGACTGTGTCATCCAAACCAAGTGCCATAAGTATTAAATAATAAATTGGCACTCTTTATTCTTTAATAATTGGGGTTAGGGATTTTTCAAGCGGGGAAGTTATATTTTACTTTAGGAAATTGTATCTAGAAATACTGTGTAGTATTATTTGGTGTGTACAGAATTGAATTCAGGGGCAGTCTGTTGTAACAACTTTGAGGATAAAGTAATAGTAAGGCCTGAAGTGGGGCATTCACAGTAGCAGGGAGGTATCGTGGAGAGGAAGGAACAGTGATGGTAAAGGTACCAAGACATTGAGCCTTGTTTTCTGGGAGTCTGTGAACACTGTTTTTTTTGTGTGTAATTACACAATAATCGCAGTGTCTAGGATCCATAGAATAATATGTATAACAAAAATTCCCAAGTTCTGTTTGGAGGTTTTTGGTTTTTTTTTTTTGGTAATAATTAATTAACTGGAATATCTTAGTAAATACTCTCTTCGTTATCTAGTGCTGCTATGACAGAAATACCCACAAGTGCTTTAACAAACAGAAATTTATTTTCTCAGTTGGGGAGGCTAGAAGTCAGAATTCAGAGCGCCAGCTCTAAGGGAAGGCTTTCTCTCTCTGTCGGCTCTGGAGGAAGGTCCTTGTCTCTTCTGAGCTTCTGCTCCTGGGTGATCTTCCTGTGGCTTGGCATCTCTCCTCCCCCATCTCTGCTTCTTCTGCTTGCTTATCTCAAAAGAGATTGATGTAAGACCTAACCGACACTAATCGTGTCTCATTAACATAACAAAGACAACCCATTCCCAAATGGGATTGCAGATTTCTGAGTTCTAGTCTCTGGATGGTGTTAGTAGAGATGTTTCTCTTTTAATTTTCTTTTTAGTGTTCTTAATTTCTCTTCTATTAGACTGAATCTCCTATGGCAAATGAGTCTTACCTCTTCTCTTATCTCTGTTGCCCAGTGTATAATAGGCACACAAAACACTTTTTCTTTTCTTTTTTTTTAAATGATTTATTGTATTTTGAGTGAAACTTTGCATAGCAAGTTAGGTTCCCATTTAACAATTTCCACACAGTGTGTCAGCATTCTCTTTAATTGCTGTTCTGGTAGTTCCATTCCAGTACTCTGGTTTCTCTTATCTTCTCATCTTTGTTTTAGAGTAATTACTGACCTTTTGGTCTCATATAGATGGTTTTTTAGTAGAGCACCTTTCTTATGGGTAGTATCCTTTATTTTGTGTGCCAGTCTGTTATTTCACTAAAAGATGACTTCAGGGGATAGTTTGCGTTCGGGGTTTAAAGAGTGTCTCAGGGCGATAGTCTTAGGGAGTCCTCTGATCTCAACTGGTCCAATTAGTCTGGCGTTTTTTAAGAATTTGAGTTTTCTGCATTTTTCTCCCATTCTAACTGGGACCATCTATTGTGACCCTGGTCAAAATGGTCAGTGGTGGTAGCCGAGCACCATCTAGTTCTTCTGGTCTCAGGGTAGATGAGGCTGTGGCTCGTGTAGGCTATCAGCCTTGTAGACTTGTATCTTCTCTGAGATTTTGGTTATCTTCTTACTCTTTTGTTCTTGAGAAGTAGAGACCAATAATTATATCTTAGGTGGCCGCTTGCAAGCTTTTAAGACTCCAGACACTACTCACTTCGCTAGGATTCAGAACATTAACTTTGTGAACTGGATTATGCCAGTTGACTGAGTTGGCCAATGAGACAATGGTCCTAAGCTTTCAGACCTAGAAAACCAGTTTTGGAAGGTGTTTGGTTATATCTGAGGAGTATCTATAATTGTGTCTTCAGTGAATATAAGTGCCTGCACACGCATATCCCTGTTTGTTTACACGTACGTACATATAGATACTTCTGTGTCTTTTCACGTATGTATGCACCTGTACCTACCCGTATACCTATATGCCTATACCCATCCATATGTGATCATACACTGGTTTTTTGCTCTTTGTTGGAATTGATGACTTATTTCACTTAGCATTATGCTCTCCAGGTCCATCCATTATAATGTTTCACAGACTCATCATTGTTTGTGGTTGCGTAGTATTCCATTGTATGTACGTACCACATTCTGCTTATCCATTCATTCATTGATGGACACTTCAGTTGTTTGCATTTTTTTGCCATTGTGAATAAAGCTACAGTGAACGTAGGGGTGCGTGTGTCTGTTTGTGCCACTACTTTTAGGTCTCTAGAGTATATACCTAGAAGTAGGATTGCTGGATCATAGGGTAGTTCTATTTCTAGGTATTTTTAGGAAGTGCCATACTGTTTTCCATAGTGGTTGTACCATTTTACAGCCTCACCAGCAATGGATAAGGGTTCTAATGGCCCC